TACTATTAGAGAGAAAATTAATCACCAACTGCCATCAACAGTTATCAGTGGCTCTCCAAGTTCAGGGACTTCTGTCAATGTAAACTTAGATATATATTTAGACTGTTTTTCTGCTATCGATCTTCATCAGTTAACTTCAATCATTTCTTCATCGAAGCCATCAACCTGTCTATTAGACCCGATCCCAACTAGGCTGCTTAAAGAAGTTGTTCCCTTAATTGGCACTTCTTTACTGGATATGATTAATCTTTCTTTATTATCAGGATATGTACCACAGTCCTTTAAAGTAGCTGTAATTAAACCCCTTCTTAAAAAGCCCACTCTTGACCCAGGGGTTTTAGCCAACTATAGACAGATTTCTAACCTCCCCTTCCTCTCTAAGATTCTGGAGAAAGTAGTCGCCAAAGAGTTGTGTGACTTTCTACATAACAATAGTTTATTTGAGGATTTTCAGTCAGGATTTAGAGTTCATCATAGCACAGAGACAGCTCTGGTTAAAGTAAATAATGACCTTCTGACTGCTTCTGACAATGGACTTGTCTCTGTACTTGTATTATTAGATCTTAGTGCTGCATTTGACACCATTGACCATAATATTCTTTTACAGAGACTTGAGCATCAAATTGGCATTAAAGGAACCGCACTAAGCTGGTTTAAGTCATATTTATCAGATCGCTCGCAGTTTGTACATGTTAACGATGAATCTTCAATAAATACTAAAGTTAGTCATGGAGTTCCACAAGGTTCTGTACTTGGACCAATACTATTTACTTTATATATGCTCCCTTTAGGCAACATTATTAGGAATCACTCCATTAACTTTCGTTGCTATGCAGATGATACGCAGTTATATCTATCAATCAAACCTGATGAAATTAATTCAATTCAATTCAATTTTATTTGTATAGCACCAATTCATAACAGAAGTTATCTCAGGACACTTTTCAAATAGAGCAGGTCTAGACCGAACTCCTTATAACATTAATTACAGAGACCCAACAGTACCACCATGAGCAAGACCTTGGAGACAAGGGCAAGGAAAAACTGCCTGTGGAAAAATAAAATTTGTAAAATAATAATAATAATTTTAAAAATTGAATTGAATTGAATTAATCACTGTGATCAATAATAATAATAACAATTTGTGTTGTGTACATTATTATTATTATATTATTATTGATCACAGTGTTTATTATTATATTATTATTGATCACAGTGTTTATTATTATATTATTATTGATCACAGTGTTTATTATTATTATTATTATTATTATTATTATTATTGATCACAGTGTTTATTATTATTATTATTATTGATCACAGTGTTTATTATTATTATTATTATTATTATTATTATATTATTATTGATCACAGTGTTTATTATTATTATTATTATTATTGATCACAGTGTTTATTATTATTATTATTATTATTATTATATTATTATTGATCACAGTGTTTATTATTATTATTATTATTATTATTGATCACAGTGTTTATTATTATTATTATTATTATTATTATTATTATATTATTATTATTGATCACAGTGTTTATTATTATTATTATTATATTATTATTGATCACAGTGTTTATTATTATTATTATTATTATTGATCACAGTGTTTATTATTATATTATTATTGATCACAGTGTTAATTATTATTATTATTATATTATTATTGATCACAGTGTTTATTATTATTATTATTATTATTATTATATTATTATTGATCACAGTGTTTATTATTATTATTATTATTATTGATCACAGTGTTTATTATTATATTATTATTGATCACAGTGTTTATTATTATTATTATTATTATTATTATTATATTATTATTGATCACAGTGTTTATTATTATTATTATTGATCACAGTGTTTATTATTATATTATTATTGATCACATTGTTTATTATTATTATTATTATTATTATTGATCACAGTGTTTATTATTATTATTATTATTATTGATCACATTGTTTATTATTATTATTATTATTATTATTATTGATCACAGTGTTTATTATTATTATTATTATTATTATTGATCACAGTGTTTATTATTATTATTATTGATCACAGTGTTTATTATTATTATTATGAAGATGATAACTCTATATCCATAAATACACATATTGCTTTTATAAGAGTCCAATTAATATATTTATTAATCAGCTTTTATATATCTGATTGTTTTTATTAAGACATTTTAACACGGATATAAAAAGAGTTATTTTATTTCATCATTTATACTCAATGTATTGATACTTAAATCAATACCTGATTATCTCCTGATTGGCCTTTGTGCTAAATCACATAATTAACATTTTCCAATCATTAGAATTGATTTACTGTTTGTTTGTTTATTGATTTATCGACTTTGAATCAACAGTGAAATAAAACAACAACAACAACAAACAATAAAAAAGTGGCTAAATACAGAAAGATGAAACTACAGAAGAAGAGTCTCCAGTCCAGCAGGAGGCGGAAGAGCACCGGAAGCGGACAGGAAGCAGCAGCAGCAGCAGAAGAAGAATGAAGCGGAAGCGGAAGCGCCCTCTGGCGGCTGTTAGCGGCTGTTAGCGGTTGTTGATCAGCGATCAATGGACACAAAGTGGAAATAAAAGGTTAAAGTCTGCAGCTGTCTCCAGGTAGGACCCGCTCACCTGTACACCGCCGAGCTAACGGTAGCTTAGCATAGGGCTGCACACTGCGGGTGGCTAATGCTAACATTAACACTGCGTTTAGCTTGTAGCCAGTTAGCCTCCGTCGGCGCTGATGCTAATGTTGAGTTAGCTGCTTAACGGGGAGTTCCTGTATACGGGAGCTAACGGGAGCTAACGGGAGCTAACATGCTAACAGCTGGTTTATAACTGAATGTAACTGGAGTTAAACAGTAAGCTAACGGGAGCTAACAGTAAGCTAACGGGAGCTAACGAGAGTTAAACAGTAAGCTAACGGGAGCTAACAGTAAGCTAACGGGAGCTAACGAGAGTTAAACAGTAAGCTAACGGGAGCTAACGGGAGCTAACGAGAGTTAAACAGTAAGCTAACGGGAGCTAACGGGAGCTAACGAGAGTTAAACAGTAAGCTAACGGGAGCTAACAGTAAGCTAACGGGAGCTAACGAGAGCTAACATGCTAACAGCTGGTTTATAACTGAATGAGCTAACTAGAGTTAAACAGTATTATTGTATCAATAAGTATCAATATCAGTGTTTATCAATAAGTATCAATAAGTATCAGTGTGTATCAATAAGTATCAGTGTTTATCAATAAGTATCAGTGTTTATCAATAAGTATCAGTGTGTATCAATAAGTATCAGTGTTTATCAATAAGTATCAATAAGTATCAGTGTGTATCAATAAGTATCAGTGTTTATCAATAAGTATCAGTGTTTATCAATAAGTGTCAGTGTGTATCAATAAGTATCAATATCAGTGTTTATCAATAAGTATCAATAAGTATCAGTGTGTATCAATAAGTATCAGTGTTTATCAATAAGTGTCAGTGTTTATCAATAAGTATCAATAAGTATCAGTGTGTATCAATAAGTATCAGTGTTTATCAATAAGTATCAATAAGTATCAGTGTTTATCAATAAGTATCAATAAGTATCAGTGTTTATCAATAAGTATCAATAAGTATCAGTGTGTATCAATAAGTATCAGTGTGTATCAATAAGTATCAGTGTTTATCAATAAGTATCAGTGTGTATCAATAAGTATCAATAAGTATCAGTGTTTATCAATAAGTATCAGTGTGTATCAATAAGTATCAGTGTGTATCAATAAGTATCAGTGTTTATCAATAAGTATCAGTGTGTATCAATAAGTATCAATAAGTATCAATGTGTATCAATAAGTATCAGTGTGTATCAATAAGTATCAGTGTGTATCAATAAGTTGTGTTTATCAATAAGTGTCAGTGTTTATCAATAAGTATCAATAAGTATCAGTGTTTATCAATAAGTATAGTGTGTATCAATAAGTATCAGTGTGTATCAATAAGTATCAGTGTTTATCAATAAGTATCAGTGTGTATCAATAAGTATCAATAAGTATCAATGTGTATCAATAAGTATCAGTGTGTATCAATAAGTATCAGTGTGTATCAATAAGTATCAGTGTGTATCAATAAGTATCAGTGTTTATCAATAAGTATCAGTGTTTATCAATAAGTATCAATAAGTATCAGTGTTTATCAATAAGTATCAATAAGTATCAGTGTTTATCAATAAGTATCAGTGTTTATCAATAAGTATCAGTGTTTATCAATAAGTATCAATAAGTATCAGTGTGTATCAATAAGTATCAGTGTTTATCAATAAGTATCAGTGTTTATCAATAAGTATCAATAAGTATCAGTGTTTATCAATAAGTGTCAGTGTGTATCAATAAGTATCAATAAGTGTCAGTGTGTATCAATAAGTGTCAGTGTTTATCAATAAGTGTCAGTGTTTATCAATAAGTGTCAGTGTTTATCAATAAGTATCAGTGTTTATCAATAAGTATCAATAAGTATCAGTGTTTATCAATAAGTATCAGTGTTTATCAATAAGTATCAATAAGTATCAGTGTTTATCAATAAGTATCAATAAGTATCAGTGTTTATCAATAAGTATCAATAAGTATCAGTGTGTATCAATAAGTATCAGTGTGTATCAATAAGTATCAGTGTGTATCAATAAGTATCAGTGTTTATCAATAAGTATCAGTGTGTATCAATAAGTGTCAGTGTGTATCAATAAGTGTCAGTGTTTATCAATAAGTGTCAGTGTTTATCAATAAGTATCAGTGTTTATCAATAAGTATCAATAAGTATCAGTGTTTATCAATAAGTATCAGTGTTTATCAATAAGTATCAGTGTTTATCAATAAGTATCAATAAGTATCAGATAAGGGATTAAGCCGGGATATGTTGGTTACCCTGGATGAATTTAGCCTCAAGTCGGTTGTTTACCTGTGTGTGTGTGTGTGTTTACCTGTGTGTGTGTTTACCTGTGTGTGTTTACCTGTGTGTGTTTACCTGTGTGTGTTTACCTGTGTGTGTTTACCTGTGTGTGTGTGTGTGTTTACCTGTGTGTGTTTACCTGTGTGTGTTTACCTGTGTGTGTGTGTGTGTTTACCTGTGTGTATTTACCTGTGTGTATTTACCTGTGTGTGTTTACCTGTGTGTTTACCTGTGTGTGTTTACCTGTGTGTGTTTACCTGTGTGTATTTACCTGTGTGTGTTTACCTGTGTGTGTTTACCTGTGTGTGTTTACCGTGTGTGTGTGTGTGTGTGTGTGTGTTTACGTGTGTGTGTTTACCTGTGTGTATTTACCTGTGTGTGTTTACCTGTGTGTATTTACCTGTGTGTGTTTACCTGTGTGTGTGTGTGTGGTTACCTGTGTGTGGTTACCTGTGTGTATTTACCTGTGTGTGTTTACCTGTGTGTATTTACCTGTGTGTGTTTACCTGTGTGTGTGTGTGTGGTTACCTGTGTGTGTTTACCTGTGTGTATTTACCTGTGTGTGTTTACCTGTGTGTGTGTGTGTGGTTACCTGTGTGTGTTTACGTGTGTGTGGTTACCTGTGTGTGTTTACCTGTGTGTGTTTACCTGTGTGTGTGTGGTTACCTGTGTGTGTTTACCTGTGTGTGTGTGTTTACCTGTGTGTGTTTACCTGTGTGTATTTACCTGTGTGTGGTTGCATGAAAGCAGGTCAAATTTATCTCGGCCAAGTTACTATGGTGATTTATTCTCTGCAGTTAGTCTGCTCCAGACCAGGCTAACAGCCGGGCTAACAGCCGGGCTAACAGCTTTCATGCAACCGACTTGAGGCTAAATTAAACCAGGATAACCAACATATCCCGGCTTAATCCCTTATCCTGGTTTTGTGCAATACCCCTCTGGTTGTGATTGATCAATCCCCTCTGATAGATAGATAGATAGATATAGAGAGAGATATACTTTATTGATCCCAAGCTGGGAAATTGCAGTGTAGCAGCAGCATTACACACAGACATATATAAAATATATAAAATATATAAAATATATAAATAAGCAGTCTAATTGTAGTGCAGAGTAAAAATATCAGGTGCAGTGAACAGACAGAAACATATAAGGTGCTTGGAGACTGTATTGTTGTTATTATTATTATTATTATTGTTTATTATTATTTTTATTGTTATTATTGATAACAGTGTTTATTAATATATTATTATTGTTGTTGTTGTTTATTATTGTTATTATTGTTGTTATTATTGTTATTATTGATAACAGTGTTCATTATTATATTATCATTATTATTGTATTATTGTTGTTATTATTGTTGTTGTTATTATTATTGTTATTATTGTTATTATTGATAACAGTGTTTATTATTATATTATTATTATTATATTATTATTATTGTTGTTATTATTGTTATTATTGATAACAGTGTTTATTATTATATTATTATTATATATTATTATTGTTGTTATTATTATTGTTGTTATTATTATTATTGTTATTATTGTTATTGTTGATAACAGTGTTTATTATTATATTATTATTATTGTTGTTGTTATATTATTGTTATTATTGTTTTTGTTATTATTATTATTATTATTGATAACAGTGTTTATTATTATATTATTATTATTGTTGTTGTTTATTATTGTTATTATTGTTATTATTGATAACAGTGTTCATTATTATATTATTATTATTATTATTGTATTATTGTTATTATTGTTGTTGTTATTATTGTTGTTGTTATTATTATTGTTATTGTTATTATTGTTGCTATTATTGTTATTATTGATAACAGTGTTTATTATATTATTATTATTGTTATTATTGATAACAGTGTTTATTATATTATTATTATTGTTGTTATTATTATTATTGTTATTATTGTTGTTATTATTATTATTGTTATTATTGATAACAGTGTTCATTATTATATTTTTTTTTTTTTTTTTTTTATTGTGTGTTATTATTATTTTTTTTTTTTTTTTTTGACTTTATTTTATATTATTATTATTATTGTTGTTGTTGTTATTGTTGTTATTGTTATTGTTGTTGTTATTGTTGTTGTTATTATGAGCAGAGTTTTAGCTGTTATTGTGGCAGGAAAGGTTTCCTGTGTGTGTCCCTTCCACAGCGGAGCAGCCTGTGAGAGAAGGTGCTCCGCTGTCTGACCGCTGTGTGATGGAGAGGGTGCTGATCATTGTCTATGATGGATGACAGTTTATTCAGCGCTCTCCTCTCCACCACGGACCGAGTACAGAGCCAGCCTTCTTGATGATTTTATCTGTTGGTGTCGCTGGTTCTGATGCTGCTGACCCAACACACAGCAGCAAACAAAATGGCGCTGGCAACAACCGACTGGTTAGGGATGGGAATCGAGAACCGGTTCTTCTTCAGAACCGGTGCCCAGTGAATAGATTCCTTGGAACCGTGTCCGCTTAACGATTCCACTTATCGGTTCTGCTCGTTGCAAATGCGCCATGACATCACACACGCAGCGTTGTTTTGGTTCAGAACGCAGTCAACGTCAACTACCTCCAATACACACACACACACACACACACACACACACACACAGAGTAACACAGGAACACACACACACACACACACACACACAGAGTAACACAGGAACACACACACACACACACACACACACAGAGTAACACAGGAACACACACACACACACACACACACACAGAGTAACACAGGAAAACACACACACACACACACACAGAGTAACACAGGAACACACACACACACACAGTAACACAGGACAACACACACACACACACACACACACACACAGAGTAACACAGGAACACACACACACACACCGAACACAGGAACACACACACACACAGAGTAACACAGGAACACACACACACACACACACACAGAGTAACACAGGAACACACACACACACAGAGTAACACAGGAACACACACACACACACACACACAGAGTAACACAGGAACACACACACACACACACACACCGAACACACACACACACACACACACCGAACACAGGAACACACACACGCACAGACACACACACACACAGGAACACACACACGCACAGACACACACACACACAGGAACACACACAGACACACACACACAGACACACGCACAGACACACACACACACAGGAACACACACAGACACACACACACAGGAACACACACAGACACACACACACACGGGCAACACATTGATTTTGCCACCGCACACAGGAAACACACACGTCGCGTTGTCACGGGCATGAGATTGTTGTCTTTTGCCAGCGTTGTTGTCGTTGTCGTCGTTGTTGTTGTCGTTGTCGTCGTTGTTGTTGTCGTCGTTGTCGTTGTTGTTGTCGTTGCTGTTGTTGTCGTTGTTGTCGTTGTTGTTGTCGTTGCTGTTGTTGTCGTTGTTGTCGTTGTTGTTGTCGTTGCTGTTGTTGTCGCCTCCGTTTCAGAGAGCATCACCAAAGTGCACAGCTGCTAGATCTAGCTAACGGTAGCACGAAGATATCAGTAGCTCTTTACGTTATCTGTCTAACGTTAGCTAACTCACGTTAATCGCCCAATTAGTTGTTAGATTAGTCGACTAATCAATAAAATAATCGCCCGAATAATCGTTTACCCCCAGCCCTAGCAGAAACATTTGGCCACACAGCATCAATTCATTTGCAGGACTGTCGCGTGTTTGATACCCTACTACCTAGAGACAGCGGAGCTAACAGGACGCCATCTGTTATTAATGCCGAAGGTCACTTTAAATGACATCATCATTTTTCTGCACAAAATTATTATACTTATTGGCTAAAAATAAGTAATTTCATTGGTTACATTTTCGTGTCCTGACCTATCACATGGCTAATTTAAATATTCTAATGAGCCATGTGTTGATTAGCCAACAGGAGCTCACCACAGTTGCTAAGTTACCACCAGGCTGTCAATCAAGCTCTCAGTGACAGAGAACGTTAGCCTTTATCCATCCAGATAAAAACATTAAGAACAGTTTCTGTATGATGGTTATTAGACCTGTGTAATCTGAAGGGCACGTTGTCATGAGCTGTATCTTGTATATTTATTATTAGCTATGTGTATGTGTATGCACCTTTATGTAATCTGCTGGAAAAACATTAACATTTAAAACCGGATCATACCAAACAAATATCTGCTTGTGTGTCTCCGTGTATGTAAAGTGTCCTCCTTTTGGATGTGAAGGAAATGGCCACCCTATTTCACTCTGTGTTTTTAGTTTTTATGGCACATAATGGAAGTTGGGCTTAAAAAGCCAAACCTTTATTTTTTGTCTGAACCAATTAATGTGAAAATTAACAATTTCCTAATCCTAAAGCACTCTTGATAATCTTTTGAGGCACACTCTAGCGTGCCATTGCATACTGGTTGAGAAACACTGCCCGAGGCTATGGCTCACCTACTGTTAGGTTTGTTCTGATGTTGCTGCACATTGTTTGTGTATAGTCTGTGCTGTGTCCTCTGATCAGATATTAAAGCCAGTTAATACAAACTAGGGATGGGTATCGATTTTCGAATATTCGAATAGTCATTAAATCATAAAAAATCGAATAGCTCATCGTATCTGGAAAAAAAATATGTTGTATTACTGGCGCCTTCCGCAAGGGGGCAGCGTAGCATTTGATGATACACAGTGTGGCGGGCTAGATGCCAGGCTGTAGAAGGAAAGCAACCGTCAAAAAGTTCCATGTGGAGCTATTTCAAAAAAACAAGTGACACAGAGGTACAATGTAAACTCTGCGAGGAAAAGCTTTCGTATAGCTTTTATAGCTTTTTGTTCTGGTGGAAAACCAACGAAAACAAATATCCCCAACCGGCAAAATTAGCGAGTGCTTCCTTGTGTGTGCCCGCCACATCTGTGCCGTCGGAGAGGGTGTTTTCCACGGCGGGACTTATTGTAAATAGACTTCGCTCCCGTCTTCATCCCGAGCATGTGGACATGCTCATCTTTCTAAATAAAAACATGTAATAGGCTGCAGTCGTAAACTATTGCTCGGATTATGAAGACGGACGGGCATGTTAAAAATGTTCACGTCAGCGATGCTGTCTCTCAGGTATGTTCAGTTGTTCAGTAAAATTATTATTGCTGGAAGTCACTGCACTGTGTGTTCAGTGTAACAGTTCAATAATGTTGTGCTGTGAATTGCATCACTGTCAAAATAAAAAGACAGAGTTCTGAAAAATCGCGGTGGATCTCTTTCTGAGCGAAGGGGTGGCGGGGGATATTATTAGATTAATATTCGATAAGGATCGATAAGCAATATCGATAATGGAATCGGAATCATTCAATTCTTATCAATTCCCATCCCTACGACTGGTAGATCTCCAACATCTTGCTGCACACGTTGAGGGATCTCAGCTTCTTCAGGAAATAGAGTCTGCTCATCCCCTTCTTGTACACAGCCTTGGTGTTAGATTTACAGTCCAGTCTGTTGTCGATCACCACTCCCAAGTATTTGTGGTCCTCCACCTCCTCCACCACCTCCCCCCTGATCCGTAGTGGCTGTGAAGGCGTCCTCTTCTTCCTACCGAAGTCGATCACCATCTCTCTGGTCTTGTTGACATTCAGCCTCAGGTGATTCTGTTCGGACCACTCTACAAAGTTGTCTACCAGTGTCCTGTACTCACCCTCATCTCCCTCCCTTATACACCCGACAACAACTGAGTCATCAGAAAACTTCTGCAGGTGACATGACTCAGAGTTGTACTGAAAGTCAGTGGTGTAAAAGGTGAAGAAGAAGGGAGAAAGCACAGTTCCCTGTGGAGCTCCTGTATCACTGACCACCACGTCAGACAGGACACTGCCCAGACGGACAAACTGTGGCCTGCCTGTCAAGTAGTCAGTAATCCTGGATATCATAGTGTCGTCAACACCCACCCCCCACAGCTTCTCACCCATCAGCAGAGGCTGAATGGTGTTGAAAGCACTGGAGAAATCAAAGAATGTGATCCTCACAGTGCCTCCCCCACCATCCAGATGCATATGGCTCCTTGCAGCAGTTAGATGACAGCATCATCGACTCCTAAATGGGGCTGATAGGCAAATTGCAAAGGGTCCAGAAACGTCCTCACCTGTGGCCTCAGCTGGGCTAAGACCAGTCTCTCCAGGACCTTCATCACATGCGATGTTAGGGCGACTGGTCTGTAGTCTGCCGGATCGGATGGCCTTGACTTCTTGGGGACTGGGACCAATCAGGAGGTCTTCCACAGCAATGGGACTTTCTCCTGACTCAGGCTGAGGTTGTACAGATGTCCCAGTACAGGGGACAGCTGGCTGGCACAGGTCTTCAGGATCCTGGGTGAGATGCCATCAGGGCCTGCAGTCTTTCCAGCTGCCTCTTTACCTTGCCTGTAATCACCGTTGGGCGGGGTTGGTGCAGATGTCATCAGTGGAGGAGGAGGAGGAGGAGGGGGGGCGGAGGTAGGGGGCGATGGAGGCAGATGGGGGTGTTGTCAGGGGAATGCTGGGGGGGGTCGGCCAGTTGGGACAGTGTGAGTGTGTGGGGGCTGGGGGTGTCGGAGGTGAGCAGGTGGCTAAACCTGTTGAAAACTGGTTTATGATTGGTCTATCCAGGCTCCCGATGTCGCCTGTCTTTCCCTTCTCCCTGTGTGTGCTCTGCCGCCCCCCTCCCACTGTTCTTGTTGACTTGGCCTCCAGCTTTCTTCTGTAGTCCTTGCACGTCCTGCCTCTCGGTTCAGTTTTGTCACCGCTAGTTTCTGGCTAAGGAGTGCCTTGTCATTCCAGGCCTTGTTATTGGAGAAGCAGTGAACGGTCCGGGCTGGCATGGTGGTGTCCTCACAGAATCTGATATAATCCGTAATGCAGTCGGTCATCTTATCGATGTCCTCCCCATGTGGCTCACAGAGTACATCCCAGTCTGTCGACTCGAAGCAGTCCTGCAGTGCCTCAGCGGTCTCCTGTGTCCACCTCCTCACTGTCCTGGTGTGCACAGGCTGCCTTCTCACAAGAGGGACATACTTGGGAGTCATCATGACCAGGTTGTGGTCTGACCTGCCGAGGGGGGGGGAGGGCTGTGGCGTCATATGCGTCCATGGCATTAGCATATAATAAATCATGTGTTTTATTGTCTCTGGTTGGGCAGTCAATATATTGATGGAAGTAATTTAAAGTGTTGTTCAATGAGGCATGATTAAAATCACCTGTAATGACCATGAACGCATCCGGATGTTCAGTCTGCAGTTTAGCGGTGGCGGAGCTGATGACTTCACAGGCCACCGCTGCATCAGCTGACGGGGGGATGTAGACAGCGATAACAATGGTGGACGTGAACTCCCTCAGCAAATAATACGGGCGCATTCCCACAGCTGCAGCTACAAGCTGAGGCAGCGCCAAGAGTTTTCTCTGGTTGTGATCGATCAATCCCAATGATCAATCCCAATGATCAGATGTAACTGATGATGTCATTACATTAACATTAGCATATTGATCTGGAACAGTGAGTGGATCTCCCTCTGACTCACTGACTAATCTGATTACAGCCTGTAATCAGATTAGTCAGTGTTAGCTCCATTAGTTCATACACTTTATGCTGCTCAGAGCTAGCCTGATGCTAACGTTAGCTCCTCCTTTAGTTTATTGTGATAAATGACAAATAAAGGCAATGACCTCTGACCTCTGTCTTTGTTTCAGTGGAGGTGGGCGGAGCTTCCCAGTGGCCATGATGGAGGACACGGAGCCGGAGCTTTCCCCCGCCCCCCTCTGATCAGAACAGCCCCTGCCCCTCCCCCTCTCTCTCCATCTCCTCCTCCCCTTCCCTGTCCCTCCCCTCCACCCCCTCCTCCTCCTGCGGCCCCCCCCAGGCCGTCACCCCCCCTCTGGGAGTGATCAGCGAGGGCGTGGCGGAGCTCAGCCTGGTGATAGACGCGGAGGTTGCCCACCGGGCGTGTCAGGAGGTTCTGCAGAAGGTGAAGCTGAAGCAGGTGGACAGTGATGTCACTGACCTGCAGAATGGGGAGGGGCCGGACTCAGAGCTCCCCGCCGCTCCCTCCTCCGCCGCTCCCTCTCCCCCCGCTGCCCCCGCTCTGAACACCCCAGTGAAACCACTTAAGATCCGTGAGGAGGATGACCCAGAGGGTCCGGCCCCCGGCTCAGTAAAGAGCGCCCGGCGGCGGCAGAGACACAATCCCTCCAAACAGTCGTGGCTGCTCCGCCTGTTTGAGTCCAAGCTGTTTGACGTTTCCATGGCGATCTCCTACCTGCACAACTCCAAGGAGCCCGGCGTCCAGGCATACATCGGAAACCGGCTCTTCAGCTTCCCCCACGAGGAGGTGGACTTCTACCTGCCGCAGCTGCTCAACATGTACATCCACATGGACGAGGACGTCGGGGACGCCATCAAACCATATGTGGTGGGTGTGGATGGAGGAGACACCTCAGAGTCTGAGTTTCTGTTCAATATGATCAATACAGTGTATTCTGATCAATATCATCCATAAAGATAATATATATATTATATATATTATCTATACTGTAGTAACAGTAACTACAACGGAGTGTTAGGGCCAGACTAAGAGAAAAAAATATTTATTTTTGGGGGGAAATTACAAGAATAAAGTCATAATAGTGGTGATGGTTTTAGATTAGATGTATGACAGAGTAGTATTCAGTTTTATTTGTATAGGGCCAATTCATAACAGTTATCTCAGGACACTTTTCAAATAGAGCAGGTCTAGACCGAATTATTTATAGAGACCCAACAGTACCACCATGAGCAAGACCTTGGAGACAAGGGCAAGGAAAAACTTTGTTGGGGTGAGAGTGACAGACAGACAGACAGACAGAACAACTCCACTAATAGTAGTGACTGATGATGATGATGAATGTGATGACCTCACAATGCCTCACCTGTCGTTGTGTTGTCTGTGAGCTGTAACCCTGCACGTTGTCTTGCAGGTGCACCGCTGCAGACAGAGTATCTCCTTCAGCCTGCAGTGTGCCTGGCTGCTGGGAGCGTACTCCTCCGACATGCACATCTCCACCCAGCGCCACTCTCGAGGAACCAAACTGAGGAAACTCATCCTTTCTGACGAACTCAAACCCGCGGGGCCTCGAGCTCGCAGGGACCCTCTGACTCTGACCCCTTTCTGTCCCGTGGCGTCCCCTGCCGCCATAGGAGAACACGGCCTGTCGCCCTCCAAACGCACACATCAGCGCTCCAAATCAGACGCCACAGTCAGCATCAGTCTGAGCAGCAACCTGAAGAGAACGGCCAGCAACCCGAAGGTGGAGAGCAGCCAGGACGAGGTAACGGCTTCACCTGTAGGCTTCACCTGCAGAGTGTTTACTAGGGCTGTAACGGTTTTGAAACCGAGACCGAAATCGCGACACAAAAGTCCACGGTCTCGTGTCGCCGATCTGAGAGACAGAACCGCGACACACTTGCTCCCTGGACTGTTGAGCTCTCGTTAAGACAGTTTAACTGCGGAGGTGGCGGCGGCCCGTGGGGTGGTAGCGGTGTACGCCTATATCGTATTTGTATTGACAGTAGGTTATTCTAGGTTACTGTTTATTTACTACTTTAATCTGCTCCCTTTCTCTTCTCCCCACACTCACCCACAGCACACACACCTAGTCTGGACCTCTGGTCACTCACAGCAAACACGCCCTCTTGCTCCGCCTCTTTCTGTCTCTCTTTCTCCCTGTGTGTCTCTGCTGACTTTCTCCATCAGCAGTACGTTTCATAAACTCACTAGTGATTCAGTTTTCAAGTGCACCGCATGTGGGTCCAAACCGAAACTAACGTTAGTGAGTGACATCTGCAGTGGTGCGTTCACTGACGCTCTGTAATGTAAGATTTCTGCCGTGTCCACTTAATGTAATATCAGATAACAAATAAAACGGGGAAAACCGCGGTATGAACCAAACCGTGGCTCGAAAATCGAGGTCTGATCCGAACTGTGGATTTGGTGACTCGTTACACCCCTGTTTACAGGACGAGGTAACAGCTTCACCTGTAGGCTTCACCTGTAGAGCGTTTACAGGTAACAGCTTCACCTGTAGGGTGTTTACAGGACGAGGTAACAGCTTCATCTGTAGAGCGTTTACAGGTAACAGTTTCACCTGTAGGGCGTTTACAGGACGAGGTAACAGCTTCATCTGTAGAGCGTTTACAGGTAACAGTTTCACCTGTAGGGCGTTTACAGGACGAGGTAACAGCTTCACCTGTAGAGCGTTTACAGGACGAGGTAACAGCTTCACCTGTAGAGCATTTACAGGACGAGGTAACAGCTTCACCTGTAGGCTTCACCTGTAGAGCGTTTACAGGTAACAGCTTCACCTGTAGGGTGTTTACAGGACGAGGTAACAGCTTCATCTGTAGAGCGTTTACAGGTAACAGCTTCATCTGTAGAGCATTTACAGGACGAGGTAACAGCTTCACCTGTAGAGCGTTTACAGGACGAGGTAACAGCTTCACCTGTAGAGCGTTTACAGGACGAGGTAACAGCTTCACCTGTAGAGCGTTTACAGGACGAGGTAATAGCTTCATCTGTAGAGCGTTTACAGGACGAGGTAACAGCTTCATCTGTAGAGCGTTTACAGGACGAGGTAACAGCTTCACCTGTAGAGCGTTTACAGGATGAGGTAACAGCTTCACCTGTAGAGCGTTTACAGGATGAGGTAACAGCTTCACCTGTAGAGTGTTTACAGGAGCTACAGCTCACACTAGAGCAGCAGCATCTCAACAACCAGACTCCATTCACAGAACAGATAATCATAAAACTGGACAGAACCAGAACTGTCTGTTCGCCTTTCCAACAATCACCAACAAGGTTTGGTCAGAATAATTTAATACAGACTTTAATTAGGAAGTTATGTTTATCAGCAATGTAAAATTAGCGTTTTTTGTCTACATCTCATTTATTATAATAATAATTATTATTAATAATATTATTATTATTATTATTACTAAGAGGAACATATGGATCATTGAGTTTCTGATCACATTGATCTCACATCCTCTAAACCCTCTGACCTCCTCAGGACAGCAGCTCCAGCTCGGACAGTCTGGAGTTTGAGGCTGGTCCTGTAAGTTCATGTTCTCCCTCCACGGTGCATTGTGGGAAATGGAGGCTGTGGGTTGTGGTTCTGGTTGTGGTTCTGTGTGAGGTGAAGTCCCAGAAGTTCAGCTGAGATGGAAATAAAAAGGAGCTGCACGTATGAAGACTTCACCTCCAGTAATTCTGTTTTTGTTTGATCCAATCAGCTGTTGGTGTTGGTGAGCCAATCAGGACTGTGTGTCTGTGTGTGTCTGTGTGTTTGTGTGATCCCTGATCAATATCAAAGTCTGACAACAATATTGGTGTGAAGCAGTCGTCTTTATCAATAAAACTTATGAAGCAAAAACAATTTAAAATGGTTAAAGTAGATAAAAGATCAACAGATTATTAATCGTTATAGACTGTAAGTGGTCAGGTGACTTCAGGCCAAACAGTCCGATATAGATATGATGACATCATAAATGGGTTCAATATTTTCAGATCTCTGATTGGTGAGTTTTTATGACTCATTGATCTCCTTTTGAATTTGATTGGATGTTTTTATCTTTATGTTTATTTATTGATACAGAGCACAATGCTAACTAGCTAATGTACATCCATCCTTGTTGAAGATGCTTTCAGATGCAACCACTGATCAGCACTAATACTGTGAGCACTGCGAGTGGGGGGGGTATAAGGGCTCCTGTCAGTCTGGGGGGGGGGGCGGGTATGTCAGGCAGACAGTGAACAGAGTTGATGTGTTAGAAACAGGAAAAATGGGCAGCGTGAGGATCTGATCCACTTTGACAAGAACCACATTGTGATGGACGACTGGGTCAGAACATCTCCAAACCTGCAGCTCTTGTGGGGGGTTCCCGGTCTGCAGAGGTCAGTACCTATCAAAAGTGGTCCAAGGAAGGAACAGAACCGGAGACAGGGTCATGGGGGGCCGAGGCTCATTGATGCAGGTGGGGAGTGAAGGCTGGCCCGTGTGGTCCGATCCAACAGACGAGCTACTGTAGCTCAAGCTGCTGAAACAGTTCATGCTGGTTCTGATAGAAAGGGGTCAGAACACACAGTGCAGTCTGTTGGTCTGGGACCAGTCAGGGAGTCCAGTGCTCACAGTGTTAGTGCTGATCAGTGGATAATGACAGTGTCTTTAACAGCCAGCAGGGGGCAGCTGCACTCTGATAGTATTGAGTCTTATGGAGAAGTTCAGTAAACAGGGGCAGGACTTTGGGAGGGTCCATTATTTTTGCTTCATACCGTTTTATTTAAATTTTCTCTGATGAAATGTGTCAGTCTGACAATAAATAATGATAAATAAATAATCTGTCTGTCTGTCTGCAGCCGGTGCGTCTGGCTCCTCAGAGGGAGTTCATAAAGTCTCTGATGGGGATCGGGAAGCGTTTGGCGACGCTGCCCACTAAAGAGCAGAAGACCCAGCGGCTGGTCTCAGAACTGTCTCTGCTCAACCACAAACTGCCGGCTCGAGTCTGGCTGCCGACCGCCGCCTTCGACCACCACGTGGTCCGAGTGCCGCACACGCAGGCCGTGGTGTTAAACTCCAAGGACAAGGTGAGAACAAACTAGAAATAGACCCATATGGTTTTTTCAGGGCCGATACCGATTATTAGTAGTCAAGGAGGCCGATAACCAATATTTGGAGCCGATATTCATTTGCAGTAAAAGGGAAAATATTGGCGTCATCATTTTGAATAATAAAAACTCCAACACTTAACTTCGTTTAAATGCCTTTAAGCATACAGCTTATCAGATTTGCAACATGTTAGTTTTTTTTTTTATCTTAGACAATAGACATCTTTGTTTTAAAATTCTAACAAAAAGTGCAGGGAGCTCCCGGGCTCAGCATGTCTTATAAAGTTAAATGAAAATTTAAACAAATAAATAGCTCCCTAAACTTTTCTACAGTAAATAAAGTTTTCCAAAGTTCAATATAAGTGAAATGTTAATCTTTCACTTATCTTTGTTTTAAGTTCAAACAAAAACAAAATGTGCAGGGTGCTCCCAGGGTCAGCAGCATCTCTTATAAAGTTAACTGAAAATTTAAATAAATAATAAATAGTTCCCTGAAATTTTATAAAGTAAATAAAACAGAGTTAAATCAAATTTGCACAGATATGTGAGTCTATCATGGACTATTCCATATCGATATATGAGCAACCTTGTTTCCAGTGATTAACAGGCCGTCTGGAGGGACTGCGAGTGAGCAGAGCTGCCGCTTGTTTCTATAACGTTAATGGGCTCACAGTAGTACTAGTAGTTGTGAGTTGTAGAGGACTGGGATGTTTATTACAATTTCGGGAGAGTCTGCTGCCTTAACTTACCTTCGAAACCAAGCTCCCAGGATTTTGGGTTTTGAATCCAGTTTTACATGGTGGCAAAACTGTGTGTGAGCACTGTGCATGCACAGCTTTCACTGCTGATTGGCTGTTACCCGTGCCGTGGCTCTGCGTGTAACCAGAACGTGTAACCAATCAGGTGGTGCTGTGGGTGGGACAATGCTGGAGACAGAGTAGTGACAGCAGACAGAGAGGCGCGGCTGCATCAGAGCCAAAATAACCCAGTTTTAAATTGATCTCTTATCGGACGTCGGATTAAAAAAAAAGGCCGATGCCGATATGCGTAAAAATATATCGGTGCCGATAATCGGTCGATCCCTAGAACAAACCCTCCTGTGTCAAAATTAATGAGGGGGGGGATATAGACGAGGTCATATGACCTCTGTTGACCTCTGTGACCCCACTTAGGCTCCGTACCTGATCTACGTGGAGGTTCTGGAGTGTGAGAACTTTGAGACGTCCAGCGTTCCGATCCGGATCCCAGAGAACCGGATCAGGAGCACCCGCTCTGTGGAGAACCTGCCAGACTGCGGCATGACGGCGGAGCAGAGAGCCGGCAGCTTCTCCACAGTCCCCAACTACGACAACGACGACGAGGCGTGGTCTGTGGACGACATCGGCGAGCTGCAGGTGGAGGTGAGAGCGGGGTGACATCATCATCACAGGTGTCCTCAGACAGAATGTGATGTCATCGTTATCAGAGCTAACTGTCTGTCTGTCTGTCCGTCCTCCCTGCAGCTCCCAGAGATCCACACCAACAGCTGTGATAACATCAGTCAGTTCTCAGTGGACAGTATCACCAGTCTGGAGAGCAAAGAGCCCATTTTCATCGCTGCTGGAGACATCAGGTACACACACTGTACTACACACTGTACACACACTGTACTACACACTGTACACACGCTGTACTACACACTGTACACACAGTACACACACTGTACTACACACTGTACACACACTGTACTACACATAGTACTACACACTGTACTACACACTGTACACACACTGTACTACACACTGTACACACACAGTACTTCACACAGTACTTCACACAGTACTTCACACTGTACTACACACAGTACTACACACTGTACACACACTGTACACACACTGTACTACACACTGTACACACACTGTACTACACACTGTACACACACAGTACTAGACACAGTACTTCACACTGTACTACACACAGTACTACACACTGTACACACACTGTACTACACACTGTACACACACTGTACTACACACTGTACTACACACTGTACACACACTGTACTACACACTGTACACACACTGTACTACACACTGTACACACACAGTACTTCACACTGTACACACACTGTACTACACACAGTACACACACTGTACACACACTGTACACAGTACACACACAGTATATCTTGTTTGTGATTGTCATACTGCAGATCAGTGACATCAGAAACGATCAATCAGCAGATAATCAATGTGTGTGTTTCAGGCGGCGTCTGTCAGAGCAGCTGGCTCAGGCTCCCACCACCTTCAAACGGGACCCTGAGGACCCTTCAGCTGTGGCTCTGAAGGAGCCCTGGGAGGAGAAGGTCCGGTAGGTGAAGCTAAGTCTAAA